AGTATAGATCAAAAAATTCTTGTACGTCTGCAAGCCCTTGAGGCTGCTGTAGAATATGTGGGGGAGCAACAAGGTACCCTGGCATTCCGACAGCAATTAAGCTGTGAGTAAGAACATAAACGTATCTTTGTCACTTCTCTGCCATGGAATCAATCAATGCATAGTTAGGATGAGGTGAAACAACACCTCTGAGGAAACTTTCATGACAATTTAACAGCAGATGTAAAGCAACTTAAAGCTAAAATGTTAGAATCCCTTCACACTATAAATCTAAGCACCCAACAAACAGCCGTAGAGAAAGGTGTGCAAGATCATCACTCCTGGTTAGACCCCCGCTCCTGGAAGTCACTCTGACTGGAAAAGAATGTTGCTAATTGTACTCATAATTGTCTTATTTGTTAATTCTAAGATACAAGGCCAGAATAAAAACAATAACTGCCCCACCTTCTGGCACGTGCTGCATCCCGTGCTGCACAAGCATTCAAAGACCTAAGAGGGAACCGTGGGGGATAAAGAAAAACAGAAAGACAAACATAACATAGAGAAAGTGGGGCCAGGCGGTCCAGGAAAATGAGGACATCAAGTAAGAATTTAGTAGGCTTCCTATCTGTTTTTCTTCTAGGAACACCATAATTACCTCATTAGTGCCACAGGTCTGCACAAGTCAGGCTATTCTGACTGCTGCTTTGACTCTGCTGTTTATTATGGTAACCCCTTCCCACTTCGCCTTTGACAGTTCAGTACCACACTTGGCTCCTGCCATCCAAGGTCCAATTATTCCCATTGTGTTTAGGTTTTCCAATTGAGCGACTGTGGTTCTCGCTGTAAGGTCTAATCAAAGTGGAGAGTGGTCTCGAAGCTCTGCAACGATGCTGGGGCTCCCCTCACAAATTTATTTCTCAGAATTTGTAAAAGTTATGTCTTCTGGATACTCTCCATGTGGGTGAGTCTTAAAGAATATACCCACTCTAATCCTGGAATCTCTCAAAGTCTCTGATCCTTTTCTCTACACTAAACAAGGGAGGTCAGGCATTTTCAGTTCTTCTGGTGGGTAACCTTTTGGTCCATGATTTCAGTCAATCGACCAAACGGCCTCATAGGCCCTTTTGAACATCATGAGCTGCAACACTAAATGTTGAATCTCTGCTTAGTCAGCATATTAACTAGTAAAGTGAGACCCAACTTTATGTTTCTTCCACCATTATCCCACACTCTTATTATCCCTTCCCAGCATGTTTCCCAGACTTCACTTATGTAAATCAGAAAACTCACATAGTTCTTTTGGATTGTAGTGGACCTCCTCATGGGTCCTACTTTGTACCTGACCTTTAAGGGCCTGCTGGGACTTGAGTTTAGTCATAGGTCTCAAATCAAACAGGGGTGGGGACAGTGGGTCCTGAATCATCAGTGTTTTGCACGGCAGTTGCCTTAGGGGAAGGCATTACTATTTTCTTTGGCAATGCAGGGCCTCAGAAAGAGGTAGAAAGGCCAAGACCACTGTGTGTGGAGAGGCTACTTTCACTGGGGATGGAAGAAGCCTTTTCCACTGGCAAAGAAGTTTCATAAGCATATAGGGGCTGAATATCCCCAGCTCTATCACAGTGTTCCCAATGTCCCCTTCTCAACTTACAAGATGTCATTCTTTCCCAGTGAATGCCACCACTTTAACGGTAGACACCCTGCAAGTTTGGGAGTTCAACTTGTATTAATTCAGCCAATCACAGGATGAGGTTCTGCATTTGGTTTTCAGTCCTTCAGCTGTAGGACATAAGTCTCCTCTCGAGGGCACACTACCAGCTTTTAGGTCATTTATACCATGCTCTAGTTGGAATTTTTTTTTTTTTTTGAGATAGAGTGTCACTCTGTCACCCAGGCTGGAGTGCAGTGGCTCAATCTCAGCTCACTGCAACCTCCACCTCCTGGGTTCAGGCAATTCTCCTGTCTCAGCCTCCCGAGTAGCTGGGACTACAGGTGCCCACCACCATGCCCAGTTAATTGTTGTATTTTTAGTAGAGATAGGGTTTTACCATGTTGGCCATGCCTGCCTCAGCCTCCCAAAATGCTGAGATTACAGGTGTGAGCCACTGTGCCTGGGAATTTAAATCCTTAAGTTCATCTTTTTCTTTTACCACTTGTCCATTGATATTAGGAGAAACCAACCAATGTCATTATATTCTCATTTTCTAAAAATGTTTAAAAGTATCATATACAGAGTCAATGAGCTCCTTGCTTCATATAAGTGGTTGATTAGAAGTATTCAATGCAGATATTTTTCATATCTCTCTATAAATCGTTTATGTCATTGATTATCACTGCTTTCCTTATTACTAGAAATAAAGTCATTAGCATCTTTAAATGTAATCGAATTAGCCAATTCCAGAGACTCCAGAGTCAGTTCAGAAAACTCATTCTTAAAATTGTTTCCTCTAGAACCACTCTCAGTACGAAACTCTATCTCAGTCAGGGTTCTCCAGAGAAACAGAACCAGTAGGTGAGAGATATACACATGTATAAAGATTTATTATCAACATTGGTTCATACAGTTATGGAGGTCAAGGAAGTCCCGTGATCTGCTCTCTACAAGCCAGAGAACCAGGAAAGCCAGAGATATAATTTTGTTTAAGTCTGAAGACTTTAGAATTAGGAGGCCAATGGTATAAACCTCAGTCTGAGTCCAAAAGTCCAAGAGCCAGGATTGTCAATGTCTGAGGGCAGGAGAAGATAGATGTCTCAGCTCAAACAAAGAAACTAATCTTCTATCCTTCACCTTTCTGTTTTTATTTTAGCTTCAGGGGTATATATGCAGGTTTGTTACATTGGTAAATTCATGTCGTGGGGGTTAGTCATATAGATTATTTCACCACCCAGACCTAAGCCTAGTATTCAATCATTATTTTTTCTGCTCCTCTCCCTCCTCCCACCCTCTACCCCCAAGTAGGTCCCAGTGTCTGTCGTTCCCTTCTCTGTGTCCATGAGTTATCACTTATCTTCCACTTATAAGTTAGAACATGCAATATTTGGTATTCTGTTCCTGTGTTAGTTTCCTAAGGATAATGGCCTTCAGCTCCATCCATGTTCCCACAAAAAAACATAATCCCATTCTTTTTTATAACTGCATAGTATTCCATGGTGTGTCTTTTATTTTTTTAATTGACAAATAATTATGTACATATTCATGGAGTACATAGTAATGTTTAGAGCCACATAATTTGTAGTGATAAAGGTAATGAACATATTTGTCACCTCAAACATTTATCATTTCTTTGTGTTGGGAACATTCAATATCCTCCTTCTAGTTATCTAAAACCATCCATTACTGTTAACTATAGTCATCCTAGAGTATTTTTAGTAGAGACCGGATTTCACCATGTTGGCCAGGATGGTCTTGCTCTCTTGACCTCATGATCTGCCCACCTCGGCCTCCCAAAGTGCTGGGATTACAGGTGTGAGCCACCGTGCCTGGCCCCTTTTTCTCATTTTTAATCAAACATTGTTTCATTTCATTTTCCTTGTGCTCTAAGCCAGCTCACCCCTGGTTTTTTATTCTGCCTAGTTTGGGATGGATTATAGAACATTAGACATTTTCCTCATATCTAGTTATAATTGTATAACCTGTAACAAGTCCTTCCTTAATCCTCCACTCTGCCTTTTTGTTCTAGTCAGGTCCTTGATAGACGTATGATGCCCACCCTCATTGGTGAGGGGGATCTTCTTTACTCCATCTGCTGATTCCAATACTAATCTCCTCTGAAAACACCGTCAGAGACACCCAGCAACAATGTTTTATCTGGTATCTGAGCATTTCTTAGCCCAGTCAAGTTGACACATAAAATTAACCATGACAGGGACCAAGAGTTGTTTTCCCTCTGCCAAGGCAGATCCTATATAAGGCTGGGACAGCCCCAGCTAGGTATAAGATACTCCAAAAGGAACAATCCTGGAGTGAAGTTAGTCTGGAAGAAAGCAAACAAGATGAGGACACAGAGAGACAGAGGTGAGGCCCAGAGTTAACGGCTAAGATCTAAACTTCAAAGATGGGGGGACAGGAAGGCAGGTGGTTGAGTGGTTGAGGCAGTTAAGAGGAGACAGTGGTGTGGATCACAGCTCCACTTTAGGGCTGAGGCCACCTAAAGTTTGCTTTTGCTCTTCCATATATACCACCTCCATTCCAAACTGGGCAGAATAAAAAACCAGGGGTGAGCTGGCTTAGAGCACCAGGAAAATGCAATGAAAGAATATTTAATTAAAAGTGAGGGAAAGGGGCCGGGCGTGGTGGCTCACACCTATAATCCCAGCACTTTGGGAGCCGAGGCAGGTGGATCACGAGGTCAAGAGATGGAGACCATCCTGGCCAACGTGGTGAAACCCAGTCTCTACCAAAAATACAAAAATTAGCTGGTCATGGTGGCACGAGCCTCTGTCTCAAAAAAAAACAAAGAGAGAGAGAAAATAAAAAGCCCATGTTCTGCTCTCCACAGTGGTTAATCACTAATCTGCATTACTTTCACCACCCTGAAAACTTGGAGAGAGGAGAGAGAGACAGAGAGGGAGAGGGAGGGAGGGGGCGCGGAGAGAGAGAGAAGGGAAAAGCAACTCTGGACATCATGTATCTTCTCCTAGTCCTATGACCATGACCAAAATGTTTAGCTTCTTGGAACCTCAGTTTTCTCTTCTATAAAATGTGGAAAATACTTTCTACCTCATACGGTTGTAGTGAGATTAAAGGTGAAGATAATCATACACATAAAATGTTTAGCAGAGTGTGACATCATAATCCTTCCACAGAAGTTACGTCATCGTAACCAATTATATAGACTCCATTCAGAACTGAGCCTCTAGAAATTTAAGCATAAAGAGTAATTGAAGACCTGAGAATAAGAGTTAATTGTATCATTATAAAGCTGAGGCATGTGATAAGAGGCAACTGACCCGTGCTCACAGACCAAGCAAAGTAGTTAACACTCCCCTCTGTGTCATTCACTCATTCACACAACTCTTACAGAAGGCTTGTCAGCTATAAAGCTCCGAGCTGTTCCTCCCGACTCCTCCCGTGCTCTTTCTATCTCCTCTTCGCTGCGTTCTCCATGTTCCCTCCCAGTCACTTGCATGCTGGGACCTGTGTTATCTCCCCACGAGCAGAAACAAGCCCTGTTGAGGGCTGCTAAACAGGTTTCCTGGTTCTGGAGGTGCTGCAGACCCAACTGTCCTGTGGGTACAACTCTGCCATGTCTCCTGGTCAATCGGAGACCCACCACAATCCCTCTGATTGCCTGGCCCTTTGGAGAGCCTGTTCCCTACTCCCATCTCACTTGGCCCCAGTGAATTTCATCCATTTCCTGCTTTGCTTTGTCCCTGGATCTGTCTGATGTCTACTGGTCAAGCCCTGGTCTGACTTCCTACCCAGCCTCATACCCTCCATTCCGGACAGCCTCCTCACCACTATGACAACCATAGCGTCTGGAAGGCCCCATGGGAATGCAAGCTTCATAAGAATAGGATATCTTTGTCTGTTTCATCCACTTTTCTGTCCCCAGAGCTAAATCGGTCCAAAACATCTATTTAAAACTTACACACAGAATTTTGGAGTTGAAGAGACTCTAAGGATCACTTAGTCCAAGTTCCTCATCTCAGAAAGAGAAAATGAAAGCAAGGTAACAATGCAGGCTGGGGGTAACAGGATGGTCCAAGTCACACAGCAAGCCCCGGGTTAGCTCACTGCTGCCTCCTTTTGGCCCTGCTGGCAAACCATGCACAAATTCAGCCATTTACCAGTCTGTTTCTTGTTTTGTTGTCTGTTTGTCAATAAAATATAGAACCTTAGGAAAATACTTGCACATTAAGCTTCATAAACACTGAGGAAAACACACAAAATTATTATTATTTCTTCTTCCTCTTAATCTTCTTCTTCTTCTTTTCTTCTTTCTTCTTCCTCCTCCTCTTCCTCTTCTTCATCTTCTTCTTCTTGAAAAGGGAGTGCCACTCTGTTGCCCAGGCTGGAGTGCAGTGGTGCAATCTTGGCTTACTGCAACCTCCATCTCCTAGGTTCAAGCAATTCTCCTGCCTCAACCTCCCAAGTAGCTGGGGTTAAGTTGTGCGCCACCACACCCAGCTAATTTTTGTATTTTTAGTAAGAATGGGGTTTCACCATGTTGGCCAGGCTGGTCTTGAACTTCTGTCCACAGGTGATTCACCTGCCTCGGCCTCCCAAAGTGCTGGGATTACAGGCATGAGCCACCACACCCGGCCTTACACACAGTATTTCTGTGGAGTAAAAGTGTTGAATGGAACCTGCTTCGGAAAGTCTTCTAAGAGAAGAATATTGAGGTAATATGGTCTAAATGAGAGTCTAAAAGCATACAAGGAAAAGAATAGCTAAGGCAAAATATAACACGTATAAATAAGAGGAGAAAGGAAATAGATACCCCTGAATTTTGTGTCCATTTCTGAATTTCCTTATTGCTTCAAAATTTAAAATAAACACCAGTAGGGATGTGAACTCTCCCTAGCCAAACCCAGAACTGTGGGGTAGGCAAACAGAAGTGGATAGTTTGCTTCTTCCACAAAGACTTTCACTCATTCATTCTTTCTTTCTTTTTAATTCACTTACTCTGTAAGCAAAGTAGCATACATAAGAGGCCATGTTTGTTTATTTGGCTTCCAGCAGAATTTCACAAAGCCCCTGAATCAGTGACTGAGGGCAGCCTTCCAGAAGGATGCCTTGAAGATAAGAAGGATAGAGCCCAGGTTACCACATCTCTTGCCTGAATCACTGCATTTTTAGAAAAGATAAATTCAATGATAGTGGCCTTTGTCTTTTTTCCACACATAAGATAATGGCTGACAGGATTAATCATCGTGCCTCTGTCACCTACAACTAGATGTACCCTGCACCCAGGCTTTGGTGAAATTTTGCTCTTATGTAACTTCTGAGCACAGGCAGAATGTCACCTTATGTAGAAGCCGTGGGCTGAAACACTGCTTTGGAGCAGTCTAGCAGAAACTCTCCGAAAGAGTCTCCTGGGTTGCAATCCTCAATAAGACTAAGTAAAACTACTTGAATTCTATAAAAGCTTGGCTTTTCTTTAGTTGGCACACTTCTCAACAAGTATTTAGTGAGCACCAACTATGTGCTGTGGTCAAGAAGCAGAGATGGATAAAGCATGACCCTTAACTTCAAAGAGCTCAGGACTGATGGAAAAACAAATGGGTCAAGAAGCAGCTTGACACAGATTGAGCCAGATGGAGAAAGGTCAACGGGTCCCCTCAGGGAGAAAGAGAAGCAAGGTGACAGCGTGGAGACATGTGTAGTGACCGCGGGGCTTTAATGGCTGCACTTTGGGGTGTGGAAAGAGTGGGTAAAGCTGCAAAGATGCCAGATTGTAGCAATCTGTTTACTTTTTGGCTAAGAAAAGTGAAGGTGGCTTTTCCAACAATGTGTTTCTGCGTAGTCTGAACTGTCAACTTACTCTTTCAAAGGATGGTCATCAATCTGCTCTTGAGGGTCATTAGTCATTTCCTCCTCTTTCTACCTCTTCTCACTTCCCCTGTCACACAGCAAGGGCACCTGACAGCACCCAGGCAGGCAGGAAGCCTTCAGATACATACAGTTCATACCTCACACCTAAAACAATTTCCAGTAGACATCGACTTCCCTGGCTTTTTGTGTAAGTGGCAAGATTTGAGCTCTTCTCTTCCAAGGGACGCGCAGAGCTTTCAGTCTCTTGGGACCTCTTCCAGCAAGAGTTAGCTTCTCATTTTGCTGCCCGGAGGTTAGGGGCCAGGAGATGAAGTATTCCACTCCTACAAAATGCTGATAACTTCAAGATCTCAAAAACAGGTACTGTACTAATTCTCCTTCTCCTTCACATTCAGATGGCAGGTTGCCGCCCAAGTGTGTTTGCTCTCAGGATCATGCTACCTGGAGTCCCTGAATGACCTTGTGTGGAACAACAAGCAAGGTCACTGACAGCTCCAGAACTGCTTCCCTAGCTACGAAATGTTGTTATATTTGTAAATAAGCATAAATATTAACTAGTTAGCAATGTTGAATTTTGTTGAATGCATAATTGAAGCTAGATTTGGAGAAAAGATATTCAACTATAATTTTGCTTCAACTAAAATTTGACTGATTAATCTCTGCCTCTTTATTTAAACCATTCATCCACTCTTCCTGTAGAATCCCATTGCCCGTCAAAACCCTCCCATTTCCACACAGTCAAGCTCCTGGACCTTTGAGTTCTCTTTTTTGTTATTGTTCTTTATCTCTTGGTGCATGTGCTTTCTAACACTTTTAATTTTTTTTCAAAATACTAAAGATATATAGTTCAACTATTCAACTAATAGCATAAGACATAAAAAAATAAATAAAAAGCAGACTTCTGCCACACTATAACCAGAACTGCTGTTTCCCATAGGCAACCATTGTCAATTATTTGGTTTTTCTCATGATACTTCCTTGATATTAGAAATGATATATTTATTTGGCCCTTTCTTGATTTTAGACACTATATACTGACTTCCTGCTATGGAGACAGATATCTGGTTCTCTTATCCTGTCCTCCACCCTCATTAGCCACTCAGCAACACACAGGCCTTTCTGCCCATCCTGCCAGAGTATGTTATAACACAGCTTTTTGCTAAACTGTATTTAACATTTATGATAATAAGTATTCACATTTGAGCCATGTAGAGTACAATGATTCAATTTCCTTCCTAACAATTCGTTGTTTTTCCTGTAGTTGATAATATCTTTCACTGGGTGCTCTGGTCCTGCTGCCTGTATTAATCTCCAATACAACAGAGTTGAGAGGTGGGAACTTTAAGAGCCCTCATGAATAGATTAATGCCATTATTGTGGGAGTGGGTTAGTTATTGTGGGAGTTGGTTCCTAATCAAAGGCTGGGTTAAGCCTCCTTTCTCTCTCACACACACATACATAAACACACAGCTGCTCTCTTTCTCATCATGTTATACCTTCCACCATATTATGATGCAGCACAAAGGTCCTCACCAGATGCAGCCTCTTGATCTTGGACTTCCCAGTCTCCAGAACCATAAGCCAAATAAACTTCTACTGTTTATAAACTTCCCAGTCTGTGGGATTCTGGCATAGCAGCACAGAATAGACTAAGACATGTCCCTTTTTGGGACTGTGTTATCCAGGGTTTGGAGTTCCTGGGCTGATTCTTTAACTGTCTTATTTTTTCTCTTATACTTTCATCTGTTTGCCTTTATATCTACTTTCTGAGAGTTTCTCCATTTGATTTCCCAACACTCCCATTGAATTTTAGAAGTTTCCTGCCCTGGTAAATCACTTTAGGAGAGTTCTGTATTGTGTTATACGAAGACAACACTGAATGTATTCTATTATGGGCTTTTTGTGTCTTTTCTTCTCCACTGAGCTGTGAGAAAAACACATTCTTAATTTTCTCTGCATCTCTAATACACAACATGTAATAGGTATAAAAAAATGTGGGTCTGACAAGCATTTAAGAAGCATCTGTGCTGGGTGTTATGGGACACACAAAGCTAGGCAGGTACAGGAGAACCCGCCTGCACCTTGCCTTCCAGAAAAGCACAGCCCCAAGGGTCTCTCAGAGCAGCTCTAGGCAGAGGTGCTAAGGCTTCTCTGACAACACAGACAAGTGGTTTTGAAACTTCCCTCTGTGGGCTCTGCAGGGTTGAGTGTAGGTAAGGCAGCACCTTTCCTGAGGGAGTCCCAAGAATGAGCTGAATGCCTCACTGAGTCTGCAGCAGGTCAGACACAGAGGACCAAGGCCAACAGAGAAAAGGTGGACCGAGGCAGGCCCTGGGATGGTGGCTCCAGAGCCCTCGTCTCCTGCCACCCCACAGACACTTCCTGTTGCCAACTATTCTGGCTCCTCCATTTCTTCAAATACTTCTGGATCCAAGAGAAAGGCAGGTAGGGATGCTAAGGACCTAGACCAAGTCTTGTCAGGAAGAAGAGAGTCAGAAGGAAAAACATTACCTGAGCAAAAGGGTCTGGTGAGGACAGAGCTGGAGTTCTGGCTGATGGGGTTCCTGGCAGTGCAGTGGTAGCTCTCACTGTCCCCAGGTATCCAGGGGACACTCAGAGTGGTCCCACATGGGACACAACTGCCCCATGACTGGGAGGCTCCCAGCTATACTGTACATTCTCTCCAGCCTGTTCCAGGGAGCAGGCCAGGGTAATGAAGCAGGTCCCATTCCTCATGATCTAGGAGCTGGCAATGATGCTGGGCTCCTGCAGCCTTTCTGAACCAAGAAAGGAAAGCT